AGTTGGCCAAGTGGTTGTTCTCCAGATTTCTTGGCACAACTTGGTGAGCACGTCCAGGGCAGCATCTGTTAACTGAAATATGTCAATTGGTATACCAACTATTCCTGGAGCCTTATTTTTTGCCATTTCCTTCAGAGCAGCCTGAACTTCTTCTTTCATAACCATAGGCTCTTGCTCATATGTTGTTTCATGAAATTCTTCTGTGTCTTCCAATGGCTTAGATGGTCAAAGCGCCTGTCTCGTAAACAGGAGATCCTGGGTTCAAATCCCAGTAGAGCCTTGAGGTTTTTCCTCTGGGATTACTTGAGCTTGCTCTACTGTAGGAGGGGCAAAATCCTCCTGTGCCAATCAGATTTGATTCAATGGTACACAACAAGAAAAAGATTAAAAAAAAAAAAGAATTATGTTACTTTAAGCAAATGTCTTGGTTATTATAAGCCAAAGTCACATTACCTGTAAAAACAGAAAATTGAACTAAATCTCTCATTTCCCTTCTACTGCTGAGATATTGTGTTCCGAGTTTTCTCAAAAAGTTGCAAACAGAAATACCATTTGACCCAGCAAATCCACTATTGGAATATACCCTAAATAGACCATAACTGACATCCAAACAGATATAGACACACCCATGTTTATTGCAGCTTTGTTCACAATAGCAAAGAGTTAGAGACAACCTACGTGCCCATCAACAAACAAAAGGACTGAGAAGCTGTGGTATATTCACACAATGGAATATTACACTGCATTGAAAAATAAGGAACTCATGAAATATTATTCAAAATGGGTGACCCTGGAGGACACTATGCTGAATGAAGTATCTCAGTCACAAAAGAACAAGTACTGTATGGTGCCACTGTGTAAAACAGGACTGACTTCGGTGTTAGGGAGAGACTGAGAAAGATGGGATAAAGTATGTATGCTGCATTGAAACAGATGAGGGAGAGAACTGTTTAAAAGGGATATGTGATTATATAGTATTGTCATGACAGGAGTCCAGAACGAAGATTAAAATGGGGGGAGGGATTGTATAACAATGAAAGAATTTTACTTTTAAAAGAGAAGAGCGAACTGAGGAAGGGGAAAGGTGGGCAGGGAGAAAAGTGCAACAATGAGTGAATGGAAATCCAAAGTCTCTGTAAACTTTCACTAAAATTAATAATAATAATAATAACATAAAGAATGTGCTCGGAATAAAGTAGATCATGGTAGTAATTTCTCTGCTGAGAAGAGTTTTCCCCTTACCTGGTAGCAAGCTGAAATATAATCGTGAGAACCAGACCAGTGATGGACAATGCACAGCCAACTTGGGATAATACATCTAGTGGTTGAGGATAGATATAGTTCTTTTTGAAACTCTGAAAAAGAAATGAAGACTTATTATTTTAAATAATCATTACTTAAATAATGAATTCTTGTTGGATCACCATAGCTGATGCTCCATTAAGTTTCCAAGGCTATTATTATAAATTGCATGAGAGAAAATTGCACCTGCAGAACCGTTGGTGGATCCAAATCACAGGGAAAGAAGAACCTTTGAGTTAGCAGTGCAAATCCCTGTGGATTATATCACCAGAGAACTCTCATATTGTGAAGAGTTAACCAGAAAGCCAAACCATGCGCCTGTAAGGCAATCCTATGTGTGAGAGTAGAACTGTATTCTGTTGGGTTTTCAGTGGCTGATGAACTGTCAAGAGAAAAAACAGGTCTGTCTTTGAGACAATTAAACCAAGTTTCTCCTTTGAGGAAAGGGTTTTGAAACTCTGTATTACATATTTTGAGCATGTGGACAGGAGAGACCAGTCCTTGGAGAAGGACATCATGCTCAGAAAGCAAGAGAGGAAGTCGTCAGATGAGATGAATTGATATAGTGACTGGGACAATGGAAGTAGGTGTGTCCGAATCAGTGAGATTGGCTCAGGAACGGGCAGGTCTAGAGCTGTTGCACATAGAGTTGCAAGTCACAGATGACTTGATGGCACATAACAACAACAAACCATGAACTTACTTCCACAGTGCCTCCAGTTGAGCTCAAACCTCTAACTTTTCACTTATCAGTTGAATGCACTAACTGTTGCACAACTATGACAAAGTAAATTGAATGATTACACACATACAGCAACCTGACATTTTCACAGCTCATCAATGGTTCTGATGATCTCAAGGTAAGTTTTCTCTTTAGTATCTTATGTTTGTGGAAACAGAGCTCTGTAGTACAAGTCATAAAATAAGAAATAAAACTCAATTAAAATGAGAAAGTATTTGGGTAATGTTTTTAAAACTCTATCTCGAAAGATAAAAGCAAGGCTTTATACTTTGATAATCTATGATTTTCCAATATGTTTTCTCTGTGGGGATTTCATAGCACCAATAATCTGTTGACATCAAAGTGATTCTGTAACATCCATAGCCCTTTTTAAAATTTCCCCCCCTTTTGTTATTTTATTTTTGTTTTATTTTTTGTTTTTGTTGTTGTTGTGTACCACGGAGTCAGATCAAACTGAAACAGGAGATTTTCCTTCCTCCAGTGGAGCTTCTGGTGGATTCAAACCACATTCCTTCGGGATTCCAGTGCAGCTTCTTGCCACTAGGCCACCAGAAGTCCCTTCCTTTTTAAATTGTTTTTTATGGGAAAATACATTTCTTTTGTTGCCAAGGGGAAAAAATTCATGAAGTATATAAATGAATATTGTTTGTTTTGCTAGAATAACAGTTTTCTGGAGATGCAAAATGTTCCTTTCAAGAAAAATCAACCCAACAACTTTCAGAGATGCAAGCATGTCTGTACAGATGCAAGGTAGAGAAAAAACATAATTTCTTGCCACATTATTATTTGCACAGTCTAACGTCAGACTTTAAAAAATTAAATAATCCAATCTGTAATTCACAGAATTACCATGGAAAATGAACTTATCTAACATATTCTAGCACAAAATTAGTAGATTGTGCATTGAGTAAATGATTTAAATTGTTCGCACACTATGTACAGAGAGATAAAAAGAAGGCAAAAAAAAATCTTCTTCACTAGAAGATTCTATTTTTATCTATTTTAAATATTGGGATCAAATAAAACTGAGGGTTCTGCTCTCTATAATTTAATGAACCTCTTTATTTATAGTTATTGGTTAAATGTAATAGGTAGAGGACAGTAACACTTTAGAATTATGTTCTTGAATAAATTAATGTGTTCATTTGTATTATCTGTGTATTGAGTACTGGAGGAACATAAAGTAAATAAATGTGCAATGTGTTTTTATTTTGTTTTGTTTTGTTTGAAATCCTTCTTGGGAGTTCTGGTGGCCTTGCGGTAACAAGCTGTGCTGCAATCCTGAAGGCATGATTAGAGGTTCGAATCTACTAGATGCTCCTCTGGAGAAGGACAATCTCCTCCTGTGCCAATTGGATCTGATTTGACAGTATACAACAAGAAAGAAAAAGAAAACAAATCCTTCTGCCCTGCCACAGCCAGCTGTAACAGCTTCATGCTTCAGAACATTAAAATTAGTCAAATGGATTCTGTCAACTCCTCTTTTCTCTTATTAGCTCCTTTTCTATTATACTCTTACCTCCTTTAATAACATATTGAACAAACAGAAGAAAACAAAACTCTATTCTACTTTCCTTTCCCACTACATTCATTAGTCCCTTCATAGCTCTGTTATATATTTTACCACCTGTAAAAGGAGCAAGAGTAACATGGGGATGGCTGAGTCTGACTTCTACATAAAAGAACACTGTTCCCATCGATAACATCCAGTATATAACACAAATCCCTTTGTAAGACATAGTACCCATACTGCTGCCCCTACTTCCATTCATTACCAGGTCTGATATTCCTTGCAAAAGTTGTGAGGTTTGTTAGTGACATAGGTTGGGGGTGGGGGGAGGGAAGGCAAAGGGTTTCACACAATGAAAGTCCAAATTCAGTCCAGCAACACATGCAAGAAACCTCTGGTTGCCTTCAGTCATCCAGCAAGCCTCTTCTCACAACAGTCCCAAGTTTCAGTCATCCAAATTCAGAACGTTAAAAAAAAAACAAAAAACAAACCCAACAACAAAAAATCAAACAACTCAGACTCTAGGTCTCCTTCAGATTATGTCTTGTGACAGTCTCTCCTCAGTCTCTTTAGCTCTTTCTCTTATGTTGGCCTCACAGCTGTGGATGATGTTGAAGATGCTGATCAACTGTGAAACAAGTGTCTGCAGTTAAAGCAGCTAGAGACAAAGTGAGAGGGGTGGGGAGGAGTGGGCTGGGGGGCAGTGGGCTGGGCAGGTAAAGTAATGGATAGAAAACTATTTTCCAAAGTTCTAACACCACAACATCTGCCATCAGTCAGAAATCAAAGACAAATTGCATTGGGAAAGTCTGCTGTCAGGGACCTCTCTAGAGTACTGAAGAGCAATGATGTTAGCCTGGAGACTAAGGTGAGCCTGATTCAGGCCCTGGTCTTCACGATTACTTATTATGCATCGGAGAGCTGGACAATGACTAGAATGATAGAAGAATCAATGTTTTTGAGTTGTGGTGCTAGAGAAGAGTGTTGAACACACTGTGGACTACCAGGTCTGTCCTGGGGAGGGTGAAACCAAGCTGCTCCCTGGAGGCAAGGATTTTGAAGCTGTGTCTCACATACTTTGGGCATGTAGCCAGGAGGGACGAGTTCTTAGAGAAGGACATCATGCTTGGAAGAATGGAGTGACAGGGCAGGAGAAAAAGATCCAGGATGAGATGAATTGACTCAGTGACTAGGGAAATGAGATTAGGTCTGCTGGAGACGATGAGATTGGCTAAGGATAGGGCAGGGTTCAGAGCGATTGTACATAGGGCTGCCATGAGTTTTGACAACTTGACAGCACATAACAACAACATGTAAACTAAACTCCCAAATTTAAGCACATAAAAGAATTGTGTATAAAAAATATTCTGTCTGGGTAGAAGTAACTATATTCATTCTTACCATTAATATAGCAAAATTAGTAGTGTGGTTACAGTGACAGCCCAGAAAGTCAGGGGAACTAGGGGTTTTTTTACAGCCAGCTGTGTCCCAATCACTCTTTTCAAGATCCCAAAAGACACAGGCATAGGAATGGAGTTGGAGGTCCATTTGGTTGTACTGTGAATGGATAAGACAATTAGAGTTAGTGATTTAAAAAAATGCTTAACTAGGTAGAATAAAGATCAGTCCATAATAAAAATTAATAGTTACTAAGTATTAGCTTAGATCATAGATTAAGGAAGGGGGAAGAGCTATATGATTCAATTTAGTTAATTATTTTCCAGGCTAGTCTTACAAAAGATATGTGAGAAAGAAGGGAATGAAATATTCTTAATAACTCTTAACACTGATTTTGTTTTATTTTCACCTAAACTATTATTGGTCTTGTAATCAGGAGTGCATTGAGTTTCTCATTAGTGTCAATGGAAAAACTCACCTTTGGGCTAAAGACCATTTCAACAGAAATATTATCAATTTTATTTTCAGCTTTATTTTTAGTGTCAGGCTTGCTTGAGATAATTCTTTGACTGAAATCCACATTACTTTTAAAAGTTTTTGATTGGAAAAACTTGTTGTTTTGATATACTACAAAGCCACATTTTGTAATAGATTCTATGGGGACAAAAAAGAAACATTGAGATCAATATACAAATTCTAGGATTAACAAGAAACAAAGTTTTGTGTTACTGTTAAACTTCATACCTGCTAAAAATTTAAACAACACATTGTAATAATTATTTGAGAGTTGACCTTTACTTGATTGCCATATTAAATGTCTCCCTGGTATACTAGTGCATTACAATGTTGAACTGTTAATTTAAAGATCAGAAGTTCGGATCTACCAGCTCACTTCACTACAAGGGAGAAAGATACGCAGTCTCAGCCCATAAAGATTTATACCCTCTGAATTACAATCACGCAAAGGAAAATCACCAAGTGAAAAGAATAAATTAAAGGTCAGTGTGTTTAATGTATGTGGTTGTTATTAGCCCTCAATTCAACTTCAACTCACAGAGCCCCATAAACAATGATTCTGAACCTTGTCCCATCCTGAGCCAACCTCACCTTCTCTGACACACCTGAGTCCATTGCCACAGTCACTGAGCCAGTTCTTCTCCTCTAGGGACTTCCTCTCCTACACTCTAAGTCTCTAAGGACTGGACCTTCCTGACAAAGTGCCCAAAATACATGGGATTGAGTTTCAAAATCTTTGTCTCCAAGGAGCAATCTCGTTTTACCCTCTCAAGGACAGACTTGTTCTCTTGGTAGTTCATAGCATGTTCAACACTCTTCTCTAACACAACAGATCAAAGGCATCAATTCTCTGTCATCCTTAATCATTGTTCAGCTCTAAGATACATATCAGGCAATTGAGAAGACCATGGCCTGGATCAGGAGCACCTTAGTCATTAGACTGACATCCTTACTCTTTAGTACTGTGGAGAGATCTTTGACAACAAATTTTCCCAATGTAGATTGTCTTTTGAGTTCCTGGCTGCTGGTGCTGAGTGGTGTTTGTGGATCTGAACAAAATGAAATCATTAACAACTTCAATCTTTTCTCCAGCTACCATGATGCTGCCTTATTGGCCCAGGGTGATGATTTTTTGTTTTCTTGATGTTGAGGGGCAATCTGTATTATAGGCTGCAGTCCTTGATCTTCTGCAGCAAGCACCTCAAGTCTTCTCCAGTTTTAATAAGCTGTGTCATCTGCATAATGCATGTTGTTGATGAGTCTTCTTCCAGGCCTCCATCTCTTCCTGATGCCACATTCTTCTTCATAAAGACCGCATAAAGACTGGTATGCAAAAGCTTCTTAAATAATCCGTTTAGCACATAGGTTGAAAAGGTGTGAAGAAAGGATATATGCCTGACAGACTCCTTTCCTGACTTTATGTCATGCAGTGGTCCCTTGCTCTGTCTGGACAAGTTTTTAATGTGGGTATACGTTTTCGATGAGCACAATCAACTGCTCTGAAGTTCCTATTCATCTCAATGTTAATCACAATTTGTTGTGATCCACACTCAAATGCTTTTGCATAGTTGATAACACACAAATAGATATAATTCTGATATTCTCTGCTTTCAGCCAAGATCCATTTGACATCAGCAAAGATATCCTTGGCACCACAGCCTCTTCTAAATCTCTTCTAAAACCTATTTCTGGCACTTCTCTGTTGAATCTTGAAGGTATGTGATTTGATACCACCAGCTGCTCTGCGGGAGAAGGATGGACAATCTCCTCCCGTACTATTTACTGCCTCTGACAATTCATTGGAGGGTCAGCTATCAGTTGGTTTTATATCTATATATCCATGTATCTATGTATCTATATATGTTGTTGTTGCTGTTACATGCCGTCCAGTCGGCTGTGACTCATAGTGACCCTATGTAAAACAACCCTAAACCCTGCTCTATCCTGTGCCAATCTTATTGTCTCTGACACATCTACCCCCATTATTCCACTCACTGAATCAATCCTTCTCATCGGGGGATCGTCCTCTCCTGCGCTGTCCCTCCACCTTCCCAAGCGTGACATCCCTTTCCAAGGACTAGTCCCTCCTTGTAACATATCCAGAATATGTCAGATGAAGCTTCAGAATCCTTGTCTTTAAGGAGCAGCCTGGCTTCACCCTCTCCAGGACTAACCTGTTCATTCTCTTAGCAGTCCATGGTATATTCAATACTCTCCTCCAACACCACAGCTCAAAGGTATCAATTCTCTTTCTATCACCCCTTGTCATTGTCCAGCTCACTGATGCATAGCAAGTGATGGCCTGTATCCAGACTGACATCATTGCTCTTCAGTACTTTGGAAATATATTTATCTATATATGTATATGTAACTATATATATTTTTTATATATTAAGCTTCAGCATTAATAATAATGTATGACTGGTATGCAAAAGCTGGGAACAGGGAAGAAGGATCAGTAGTAGGAAAACATGGACTTGGTGACAGAAATGAGGCTGGAGGTAGAATGATAGAATTTTGCACAATCAATGATTTATTCACTGCAAATAAATTTTATAGGAAACATAAGCGGTAACTATACACATGTACTCCACCTGATGGTATGAACAGATTGCTTCTATGGAAACAATTGTTGGAGAAGCTCAATATCAGCTGTGAAAAGTAGACCAGGTGCTGACTGTGGAACAGAACATCTACTACTCATATGCAAGTTCAAAATAAAACTAAAGAAAATGAAATCAAATTCACAAGAACCAAAATTTTATCTTGAGTCAATCCCATCTGAATTAAAAAAGCCATCTCAGGAACAGGTTTGAGGCCTTGAACACTAGTGAATGAAGATCAGAAGTCCTATGGGAAGAATCAAGAATATCATCCATAAATAATACAAAACATCTTTGCAAAGACAGAGGAGGAAGAAAAGACCAAGAAGTGTGTCATAAGAGACTCTGATTATTACACTAGAGTGCAGAGAAGCCAAAGCAAAGGGAAGAAATCAGGAAATTAAGGAGCTGAACAGAGACAGTTCAGGAAGACTAAGAAGAGTACTATAATGAAATGTATGAAGAACTGGAATTGGAAAATCAAAAGGGGCAAATTCACTGGAAATTTCTTTCTTTTTTTTTATTGAAAACAATTTATCGAACAAATATAAGATACAATTATAACGCAACTTATGATTAAATGTTTGAGCCTTTTGGCTTCCAAATCACTTACATAGTACATACATACAAACATACAAACATAGTACTAAGGGTCAAAGACGGAAGAAGAGAAATGTGCCCTACTGAAAACACATGCTTTTAGGTGCTGTTGGGGTTGTTTCTGACTTCTACTGACCCTATATACTACAAAATATTACATTGCCTCATACTGTGTCATGTGTCATCCTTACAACTGCAATGTTTCAACTAATTGCCGCAGCCATTCTATCCATTGTTTTATTCACTGCAGTCAATTCAGAAGCTGCACTGGGCATTTCTTAAGCTGAAGAAACTGAAGAACAAATTCAAACTTCAAATTGAAATACTTAAGGATACAATGGGGCAAAACAGTGAATTAAAAGACGGTGGCAAGAGTCCAGAGTCACTGTACCAACAAGAATTGGCTGTCATAGAAGAATTTCAGGAAGCAATACATGAACAAGAGGCAATGGTGATGAAGGAGGAAGTTTAAGCTGCTCAAAAGGAATTGGCAAAAACAGGGTCTTAGGAATTGATGGAATTTCAATTGGCATATTTCAACAAACAGACGCTGCCCTCGACATGCCCACCAGGTTGTGCCAGGAAATCTGGAGGACATCTGACTGGAAGAAATCTGTATTTATTTCCACTCCAAAAAAAGATGACCCAACAGAGTGTGGAAATTTCAAACAACATCACTAATAACACATGTGAGCAAAATTCTGCTGAACATTATCCAAAAAGACTGGAACAGTACATCAACAGAGAACTACCAGAAATAGAAACCAGGTTTAAAAGAGGTTGTGATACTGGAGACATCATTGTTAATGTCATATGTACCTTAGCTGAAAGCAAAGAGGACCAGAGGAGTGTCTATCTGTGTTTCATTGTCTATGCAAAGGCATTTGACTGTGAGGATCACAACAAGTTGTGGCTAACCTTGAAAATAACGGGAATCCCAGAAAACTTGATTGTGCTTATGCAAAACGTATACTTGGACCAGGAAGCAGTGCTCAGAACAGAGCAGGGAAACACTGCATGTTTCAAAATCAGGGAAGAATTGTGTCAGGGATACATCCTGTTTCCATATCTTTTCAATTTGTATGTGAAACAGGTCATTCAGGAGGCTGGACTTTATGAGGAAGAATGTGACATCAGGATTAGAGGAAGATTCACCAACAAACTGAGTTATGCAGATGACACAACTTAAACAGAAGAAACTGAGGAAGACCTGAAGCATTTGCAGCAGAAACACAGCAAACAGGCCAAGGACTATAGTCTTCAATATGGATTAAGCTCATTGTCAAGAAAACAAAGATTCTTACCACTGGGTCAATTGGCAACAACATGATAGAAGGAGAGAAGTTTGAGGTTGTTAACAATTTCAGCTTGCTTGGCTCCACAATGAATACCTTTGGCATTTGTTGTTCATTGCCTTTGAGTTAAGCATGACTCTTAGCAACCCTATGAACAAAAGGCTGAAGCCCCTCTACAATCATCAAAATTTATTATCGTTCATAGAGTTTCCAGAGGCATGTTATTTAGGAAGTTGCACTAGCAGTCAGGAAATCAAAAGATAAGTTGCATTAGAGAAATCTGCTGTCAGGGATCTCTACAAAGTTCTAAAGGATCAATGATGCCAGTCTAGAGACTAAGGTGCACCTGATTCAGACCATGGTATCACAATTACTTGCTCTGCATCAGAGAGCTGGAAATGACCAAATACAACAGAAGAAAAACCCATGCCTTTGAGTTGTGGTGCTGTAGAAGGGTCTTGAACATACCATGGACTTACAAGAGGACAAACAGGTATGTCTTGAAGGGTGTGAAACCAAGCTACTTCTTGGAGGTAAAGATTTGGAAGCTTCATCTCACATAATTTGGGCATGTAGGTAGGAGGGACCAGTCCTTGAAGAAAGATATCATGCTTGGAAGGATGGAGGGTCAGTGCAGGAG